AATACTGAGTGCATTGTCATACATGAACACTATTTTTATTTTTATTTTTTTTGGTTTTTGAAGACAGGATTTCTGTGTGTAGCTTTGGTGCCTTTCCTGGATCTCACTCTGTAGACCAGGCTGGCCTTGAACTCACAGAGATCCGCCTGGCTCTGCCTCCTGCATACTGCAATTAAAGGCGTGCACTTGAGAAGCTGAGGCTGAAGGATAGAGAACTCAAGTCTGGGGCCACAGAAGGGACCCTGTCATGAACAATCAAAGATAGAGCTTTCTAGACATTCTGATGGAGAAGTGGAGAGAATACACATTGCTTCCTAACAAAATCCCAGAGGTGGACCCTCGTACCCTTTTCCTTTAGGAATCACGGGACACCTTACAATGCTATCCCTGTGACAGACATGTGGCCCAGATACTAAGAACTACTAAACCATCACAGATACAACATCTCCTATCACCTCAGCTTTGGATTACATTAGTTGCTGATTGAAAAACAAAAATGGGACCTTGAACCACAAGGTCTTAAGCATCCTTGTAAAAATACGATGTACATCCTAGAGAAGGTGTGAGGGACAAAGCCCAGCTCCATGGAGTCTGATGATTTCACAAATCATTTCTTTTTAACAGTTTCAGGCACGATGCTAAGAGTTCTACTTGTTCACTATGGATGCAAATATTTCCCCCTTAGGAAGAACTCATGGCAATCCTTCTGCCTCCGTCTCCCTATAGAGTCTGAGAGAGACTGACAAAACTTGAAGAACACAGATTGACCAGGGCCTCACCTTTGTTCTCCCAGGACTGCTCGAGCACCAAAATACCTTTTCAGTTCTGTATCTGGATTCAAGTGTCTGAGGAGGAAGTTTAGAAAGAAAAATTATGTTCTACAATAACTCTAAATTTTTATAAAGTTTAAATTTTTATAAATTCACAGAAGGATATAATAGGGAACTTGGCATGGTGGTGCAAGCCTGTAATCTCAGTACTTGGAAGGCTGAGAAAGGAGGACCAGGAGTCCCAGCCAGCCTTGAGCACACCGTGAGACCCACTCTCAGAAAGCTGGCAACAACCTCTGTGGTGGGAACTATGTCACATTTCACTGAGGATCTGTAAAACCAACATATGGATACTTATCCAAATGTGAACTGGTGCTCTACACAGTTCAAGAATCCAAGATATATAAAGCTAAAAGTCCTCTGAAATATGGATGAGGGTTTCTTCTTCCTCATTGATTTGTTTTGAGGCAGAGTGTCTCACTCTGTAGCCCAGGCTGTCCTTGAACTTGTGGCACTTTTTCTGCCTCAACCTAATGAGTGCTAGGATTACAGCATAAGCCACCATACCCAGCACTACAGTGCTTCATTTTGTTTTTACAGGGATCAAACGTGAAGCTCGTGGCACAGGGGATGGGATCGGGGCATTTCATATGCTGGGTGCACATTCTACCACTACACTGCGTCCCTACACCTTACCCCTTTACAAAAAATACAGAACAATTCCTTCTCTGCATTCATCTTATGCAGCCCAGGCTGGCCTTGCATTCCCAGTTTCCTGTCTCCACGTCCCAAGTGCTGGGACTGGGATTACAAGTGTATGTCTGTCACCAGGCCTGACTGAAGAAAAGACGGTCAATTTTCCTCTGTTTTTTTTTTTCAAATACCGTTCTTCTCTCATGAAGTGAGGGCAGGGCTGTACCTGTGCTCCACATAGAGGACATGCTTCCTGGAATTCAGTGGAGGGGGGCCTGGGTGGATGACCCCACTGCTGTCTTCAATCCTCTCTAAGATGCGATCAATATCTTCTAGCCCATTTTCCTAAAAGACAGAACAACCTGTTAATCATTACAGTGACTTTCACTGCTAGGATTCTAGGCACGTACCACCATACCTGGCTCTGACTTCACTTTCAATATTAGAACCATCAGCGACAGAATCATTTACGTTGAAAAAGAATGATTATATTGATTTACTTCCTAAAAGACATGATCGTATGCTGCACATACATTCAGAAAGGAGACATGTCTCACTAGAGAAAGCCAGGAGAGCTGGGATCACAGACTCAGAGGGCCCTGGAAATCATAAGCTAACACACCACATTATGTCCTCTAGAGGAGCTTCCCTCCCTGGGTAAGCTGAGTCATGACCCTTAACTGGAGAGTAACAGAGCTTTGGCTTTTTTCAGAGCTGAGAGTAAGACATGGGGCAGAGGCAGCGACAGGGCGGGACCATCTGGTAACAGGTCCACAGCGGCGCCTGCGCTCACGGTGAGCTTACGCCGTCAGGGTGAGACGAAAGCAAGCTGAGCAGGGAAGAGATTTAGAAGAAACACTCACCTCAAAACACAGAACCCAGGAGTGGGGTCTGACAACCAGAGAGCAAGGGGCACAAGCCAGAGAGACCTGTGAGTGGTTTTCCCTTTTGTTCTCCTGACCTCTCAGCTACACTTCAGTGAAAGCAACCAAAGCGCTCAACCAAACAAAACTTTCTCCAGAACCAGCCTGAGGGAGCAGCAGGGAACAGAGAGGCTCAGGCAGAGGAACCAGTCAGTGTGACAACATACCGAGGATTCTCCTGTGCAGCTTTTCTTATTTTTCTGCTTCTTTTTCTTCTTTCGGAGTTTGCCACTTGCATTAGACTAATGGAAGGAGACATTTTAATCAATGGAAAGAAATGAAATTGGAAACATTAAGAACTACGCAACAGCCAGGCGTGGTGGCGCATGCCTTTAATCCCAGCACTTAGGAGGCAGACACCGGTAGACGTCTGAGTTTGAGGCCAGCCTGGCCTATATAGAATTCCAGGCTAGCCAGGGTTATATGGTGATACGCTGAATTAAAAACAAAATAAAATAAAAATGTAAGCAACAAGTTCAATCCTCAGTGTGGCAGTCCCATTCCTCCTCCTCCATCCTCAAGTCTTTCCAATTCTCTCGGGTTTCTGCAGTAAGAAACACCTGCCGTGTCTGTGCCAGTGACCATGGCCTCTCTCGTGCCCTGCCCTGATGTGCCTCAGGGCTTCCTGTGGCCTACAGTAGACACAGCTCACAGGACCACCCAGCCACCTGACCACTGCCACTCTTTCTTCCTTTTGCCATCCATTCCCTGTTGTACCCCACCTACCCTGAGGACGGGGACTCACCGAGCCGGGTGCCTCAGTGAGCCCTACCCCTGCTCTCTTGCAATACCTACTGCAGCCAAGTCCTTCTGTGAGAATTCAGGCTTCACCAGACTGAATTTTCTGATCAGACACAGACGCACTCGAAAGAGGCAGGTAGACACTCTATGTGGTACCCTTGAGGCTACTACTAGTCTTCAGATTTCCACAGAAACCTCATCCAGGTTCCTTGGGGCAACCAAACAATTGATGGACTCAAACTCAGAAGAATTCAGTAAACTGGAGTACAGGAAATATTTGCAGCACCTTGGGGCTTCCCCTCTGACATGCCTCAGTCACCCCATCACCATACGGTCCCCTGTACCTGTTCTGGGAACCCTGCCTTGGCCACATCCCCATCTTGCTTCGTCTCTGAGTTTCCACGCTGAGCCCTTCCTTTGTTCCCTGATGACACAGAGTCCGGCAGGGTACAGTCAGACTTCTCCCCATTTACCACAAGGTCATCCTCAAGATCCTCGATGTTTATCTGGAGGAAAAAGACAGGAGGGAAATGAAAGCAACTGAGCACCCCAGTCCAGGGTACATGGACACACTACACAGGTAGAAATGGAGAGGACTCTGAATGGGCTCAGGGTGGGGTAGTGAGAAGGAAGGAGCATTTGATTCATGTAGCACCAGCACAATCCTCAGCTTGTGAATGACTTCTGGCTCCATCAGTGCACCCAAGATATATGAATGATGCATGGCATCTTCATCTCTGGGCATGACATTCAGAATCCCCAAACCACAATGACCCCATTTACTGAGTGCCTCCCAAAGGCATAAATTTTTTTATGTTTATGGGTATTTTGCCTACATGTATGTATATGTACCACATGAAAGTCTGGTGCCCATGGAAGTCAGAGGAGAATGTCATATCCCCTGGAACTGGGCAATTATGAGTCACCATGTGATTCTCTGGAAGAGCAGCCAGTGCTCTTAACCACTGAGCCATCTCCAGCCTCAATAAACGATTAACTCTGTTAGTCTTGCCAGACAAGGTACCACAATGCCTGTAACAGGCTGCTAAAAGAGAAGTTACTTTCTGAATTGGTCTAAGGAAGTCAGCATAACTCTTCATTCTAGGGAGTGATTATGTACCTAGAAATCAGGAATAATGGCTGTCTGTGTATAGACAGAAGCAAGCAGGCATCTGGAAACATCACAGATATTTTCCTTTTTCATTGTTGAAAAACTCTCACAAATAGAATGCTAACACATTCTTTTTTCCTCACAGAAATATTCACTATGCAAACCTTGCTAAAGATACCTCACCAGGCTGGAGGACAAAAAACAATGAAAATGGGCTAGAGGAAGAGTTTAGCAGTTAAGAGTACTGGCTGAGCCGGGCCGTGGCGGCTCATTCCTTTAATCCAAGCACTCGAGAGGCAGAGCCAGGCGGATCTCTGTGAGTTCGATGCCTGCCAGCCTGGTCTACAGAGTGAGTTGAGATCCAGGACAGGCACCAAAACTACACAGAGAAATCCTGTCTCAGAAAAAAAAAAAATTTAATCCCATCCAAATAAAGACCTGGCCTTTGAGCAGTTAACATCTAAGCATCTGGTCATTCTCCACAGTAATGTCTTCTTCACTGGGGATTCAAACCACACTGCCCAGAGGATTTACAGGGGCCCTGAGGCCAAGTCAGATGGTAGCAACATGATCTAATGTGGGTGTCCTCCTGAAGCCCTACAGATCTAGGTCAACCATGTGAGCTATAAAGTAATGCCCCTTCAAGTGAACCCCACCAATATACTGTGGAACCAGTTCATCTTGTAACCCCTGATGCCAAAAACAAGACAAAAAACCTGAACATGGAAACTCAGGTCAACATTGCTTCTGGTACGCCACTGTATACAATGTCCCCTGCGGTACGTTGTAAGAACCAAATGAATTCTCTATTTCTCACTATTTACTAAACCTGGAAGGCGGCCTTGAGAACCCCTACAGTTAGAACCAGAGTCAAAAGGGCAGTCATGTGAATTTTCCCCTCATACTCTCCAGCTGTGAGGGAGAAATATGCTCATTCAGGTTTGTAAGAGGTTAGTGAAAGATTTACATATTGTTCTAATATAATAAAATTACTGTGATGTGCAAAGCGCTAACCTTTTTTTTTTTTTTTAAAGAAAGGATTTCTCTGGGTAGCTCTGGTTGTCCTGGAACTTGCTCTGTAGATCAGGCTGTCCCCAAACTCAAGAGATCCATCTGCATCTGCCTCTGAGTGCTGGGATTAAAGGCATGCAGTACCATGCCTGGCTCAAAAAAAGTTTGTTTTTAAAGACAGTCTCATGAACCAAGGCTCGCCTTGAACCCATATCAATCTTCCCGAATTAGCCTTCATGTACCACCACACCCAACTAAGTCAATTTTTTTAGTTAATTTTGTTTGTCTTTTTTCTTTCGAGTTTATATGTATGTGCATATATATGTACACACAGTATATATAACTTAAAAAAAAGATTTATTTATTTTATGTATATGAGTGCTCTATCTGGATGTACGACTTTATGCCAGAAGAGGGCACCCACTATAGATGGTTGTGAGCCACCATGTGGTTGCTAGGAATTGAACTCAGGATCTCTGGAAGAGCAGCCAGTGCTGTTAACTGCCAAGCCATCTCTCCAGCCCCCCCACAGTACATAAAATATACATAATAGATACTATATAGAGACCATACACATAGACCACAACATATATTATTCATATCTATATTATATATTTATGCATATAAGTATAATATATTTCTATATATAAACACACTTAATATTTATTAATATAAATATATTTGTATAAGTTTATGTTATATAATATTATATATTAAATATATAAATATAAAAACAATATACCTATATATGGTATATATTATAGCCTCTATATAGTTATATATTACAAATATAATGTAAGCATAATTAAATATAAGCAATATACTTACATATACTGTATATATTAAATATTATAACATATCTATATATATTATATGTTTTTGTTTTTTTGAGACAGCATCTCTATATGTGGCCCTGGCTATCCTAGAACTCACTGCGTAGGACAATCTAGCCTCAACTCACAGAGATCTGCCTGCCTCTTGGTGCCACCATATCCC